GAGGTGACAACAATGTTTTGGATGGTGCTAGTGGTGATGGAGCTGTAAAGGAGCGGTGAGGGTGAACTGAAGAGCGATTGTGATCAATAAAAATGATAATTTGTGAGTAATAAATGTAATATGTGACCTAAGATGTATGACTAGCAACTAAATTTGTAATCTTGACCTATAATTTGTCATTGTGACTAATTTGTACCCAATAAATAATATGTGACCTAAAAGATGTATGATCTTTGTGATTGTAACTATGACCTTGTTCGATTTGTGATTAGCATGTGATTATGACAATAAATAATGTGTTATTGTGATATTGACCTATTTAATTAATAAATAAGTCACCAAATTATTATAAATGTGATCACCTGAATTTTTAAAAAAATTCACAATTTTTAATTTTTATTTTTGAAAGTGTATCTTGAAATCTTTGTAATTATGCATTTTTTTCCCACAAAAAACTGATCAAATTCAAGAAAATCTGCAGCCCAATTGATCAGTACTTAATTGGGTTTCAAAGATAAATTTCTTGTATTGGGGACCAGAGACTAGGATCCTATGACCTTCAAAAAGATTCAGCCCCTGTTTGGTTGTGATTAAAATAAGATATTCAGTAAATTTTTATAAAAAATGATGAAATATATGATTAAAATTAATTGTTAATTTTGACTTAAGCTAAATTTTTTTATTTTAATCCATACTAAATAGATGCTTAGCAATCATTTTCTTGTTATTATTTATGAATTTATATATTCTTACGAGCCTTGAAAAAGTTAGTCCAGAGCACATTGTATATAAATTGAATAATTAACTAAAAAACATGACATGTACCTTTTACTAGCTCTTTTTACTTAGTATCAAATGATTAAGTTGTGGATTCGTTATGTATGGACGAATTACTTGTATACGACAAATATGGGAACAATATAAATGTCAATAGGAATTTTATATTTTACAAAATTAATAAATTAAAATCTCTTACATTACAGTTACATATAATATTTAGTGATAAATAACTTAAAATCTATAATTTTATCTCAAATTGAGAAATTTTGTACTCCAATTTTACTTATTTATTTTTTAATTTTCTAAACTGTGAAACACTTGTCATACTAATCGTCGATTCAATCAGTTATTTGAAAACATCGTCAAACATGCACTTAATCTTTTTTTCTATCTTGATCCTATTTCGTCAACAAAAAATCTCGAAGAAGGGATACGAGAAGGGCTGCCAAACCTGACAGCCTAGGACAGAGGAGCAATTATGGTCTAAATCCAAACATAGGCTCGGATCAAAATCAAATGTTACTCCGTTGTTATTCTTATTTACTAGAGAAAATATAAAAAAGATTAATCAAATAAAAATTTTCAAATTATTAATTCTTTGAAATTCACGCGGTCTGCTGCCAGCCAGTCGTTATCTGTATTCGAAGAGTCAATCCTATTAATCCGTTAATTATTAGTAATTATGAAAATAATTATCAATCCATGTTTGCACGTCTTGTTCACTATTGTACGAGAAAACATATATATATACTCTTTTATGTCTCTACTGTCATTTTGTCCACGCCAAGAAGCAAGCAGAAGGTGAAGGGGGTTTCTAACAAGAATTATTTACGTTGAGAAGTTGAAAGAAAAAAAAAATGCTCTCTATCAAAATCAAAGCGGAATTTGGAACATGCTCATAGGCATAGCATAAGTAGGGATAAAATAAATTCCTTCACTATGATTGGAGCTTCTTCCACACGCTCTCATTAACCCCTCGAGCATGCATATAGTAAAAATTTGACAAGATATATTCTTTATCCAAATAATTATTCAAGAGGAAAGTGTTTTTAAATTGCTAATTATATCTTGATTATGTTCAATAATCGTTGTTAATCCAAACAAGTAGTAACCTAGATATTGACATCTTTGATAACTGTGAATAATTCTTTCGTTTATGAAATCAAATATTTTTTCGAACAACAAATTTATAACAGCGAATCGATATGTTTTTCATTGAAAATAACATTTGATGACTATTCTTGAAGTAGTTGGAGAATAATAAAAAATAAGTGGTCATATAAATATCTTCAATTTAACATCTTTGTGCAAGAACATAAACCTAAATATCCTTGTGAAGTTGGTTGGATCGGAAAATTGGTAGACCTTAATCCGGCCGGTTGGGCTTAGCAGATCGGAGTGCTCTTGACACAATTAAAAAAGAGGAAATTAAACTCATTTTTTTTTCAATTTCCCATTTTAATTATCAGATCAATAAATTATTCTTTCAAAGCCATTCCACATCATAACTTATCCGAACCCTAACACATTCTTCACCCCAACAATGGTAACAGAAATGACTATTTCCATAACCCAAACCATTCCTCACTGCCACTGCCACTGTCACTACCACTGCCACCGCCACTGCCACCTTCGTCTCTGGCACTGTCATCATAAAACCACTGTCACACATGGATGGATCTACCTACATGCAAATCCAAACTCCATCTTCTCTCAATTTCTTTTCCCAGCAGTCCTTTCTCTCTATCCTCTATCTCTTTACAACAATCGGGTGCTCTAATAAAAAAGGTTGAACCCTAACCTTGAGGGAGGTAAATTATAGGATGTGCCCCAACAGGCCAAAAAACAAGAGTTGTCTGTACATTGCGTCTACAAGGAGTCCAATTCTATGTTTCAGGAATCGATTCCCCACATTGAGGCTGCCAGCAAGGCGTGAGATAACTTCACTCCTGTCTTTTGCACCATTGGGTTATGCCTCAGGGGGGTTAATCGGGTGCTCTAATCGTCTTCGCCATAGCTCACTGATGCCATTTTTTAATTTATTTTTTTTAAAAAAATTTAAGCAAAAAATTTTATTTGTGTACAATTTTAACTCCACTTATGTTGATTGTAGTTGATTCCAAACTCAAAAAGAGAAGGAGAATTGTAACTTCTATTTAATCTCCAAGTATTATAAATTACATATAATTTATATTGTTAAAAAAATCGAGTTTCATGACTTTAAAAAATGTACTGACTCAGTAATGCTAGAGTCGAAAGCCCGAGCCAAGCTAAGCCTTGATTTTTCGGTCGAGCTTTGACTCTACTCTGCTCGAGCTAAAATAGCCCAAGCCATTTTTTACTCAAGTAGTGACCTTCGGCTTGGCTCATTTACATCAATACCCCCTGACCAAAGATCTGAGCTCTACTACGACAATGGTTTAGGCTCTTAAGACCCAAAGTCATGCGTCTTTAGCTCTCATCTCCTCCCTACGCCACCACTTTCGATTACTCTCCGTTGCAATCGCCAAAGTCCTCTTTCATGTTCTGAAATTTGTGTTAAATGTCGTTTGAATAGCAAGGATGGTGGTGCAATAGATTCTGTGATGGTGGGTTGTGGTGTACAAATTTGTGTGGTGGTAATAAGATGGTGGTGTACAAATATTGCGTGGTGGCTATGATGGTGGTGGCATTGAGGTGGCAACAATGTTTTGGATGGTGCCAGTGGTGATGGAGCAATGAAGGAGTGGTGAGGGTGAACTGAATAGCGATTGTGATTAATAAAATTAATAATTTGTGAGTAATAAATAGAACATGTGACCTAAAAAGATGTATGACTTGCAACTAAATTTGTAATTTTGACCTATAATTTGTGTTATTGTGACTAATTTGTGCCCAATAAATAAGATGTGACCTAAAAGATGTATGGTCTTTGTGATTGTAACTATGACCTTGTTCGATTTGTGATTAGTATATGATTATGACAATAAATAATGTGTTATTGTGATATTGACCTATTTAATTAATAAATAAGTCACCAAATTATTATAAATGTGATAACCTGAATTTTAAATTTTTTTCACAATTTTTTTATTTTTATTTTTGAAAGTGTATCTTGAAATCTTTGTAATTATGCATTTTTTTTCCCTCCACAAAAAACTGGTCAAATTCAAGAAAATCTGCAGCCCAATTGATAGGTACTTAATTGTGTTTCAAAGATAAAGTTCTTGTATTGGGGACCAGAGACTAGGATCCTATGACCTTCAAAAAGATTGATCCCTGTTTGATTGGGATTAAAATAAGATATTCAGTAAATTTTCATAAAAAATAATAAAATATGTAATTAAAATTAATTGTTAATTTTGACTCAAATTAAAATTTTTAATTTTAATCCATACCAAAAAGATGCTCAGCAAACTTACCACTAGAACAAACATCGTCGTCATCATCATCATTTTCTTGTTATCATTTATGAATTTAATATTCTTACGAGCCTTGAAAAAGTTAGTCCAGAGCACATTGTATATAAATTGAATAATTAACTAAAAAACATGACATTTACCTTTTACTAGCTCTTTTTACTTAGTATCAAATGATTAAGTTGTGGATTCGTTATGTATGGACGAATTACTTGTATACGACAAATATGGGAACAATACAAATGTCAATAGGAATTTTATATTTTACAAAATTAATAAATTAAAATCTCTTACATTATAGTTACATATAATTATTAGTGATAAATAACTTAAAATCTATAATTTTATCTCAAATTGAAAAATTTTGTACTCCAATTTTATTTATTTATTTTTTAATTTTCTAAACTGTGGAACACTTGTCATACTAATCGTTGATTCAAGCACTTAATCTTTTTTCTACCTTGATCCTATTTTTTCAACAAAAAATCTCGAAGAATGGATACGAGAAGGGCTGCCAAACCCGACAGCCTAGGACAGACGAGCAATTATGGTCTAAATCCCAAACATAGGCTCAGATCAAAATCATATGTTACTTCGTTGTTATCCTTATTTATTAGAGAAAATATAAAAAGATTAATCAAATAAAAATTTCCAAATTATTAATTCTTTGAAATTCACGCGGTCTGCAGCCAGCTAGTCGTTATCTGTATTCGAAGAGTCAATCCTATTAATCCGTTAATTATTAGTAATTATGAAAATAATTATCAATCCATGTTCGCACGTCTTGTTCACTATCGTACGAGAAAACATATATATACTCTTTTATGTCTCTACTGTCATTTTGTCCACTCCAAGAAGCAAGCACAAGGTGAAGGGGGTTTCTAACAAGAATTATTTACGTTGAGAAGTTGAAAGAAAAAAAAAATGCTCTCTATCAAAATCAAACCCTTTTCTCTGATTTTCCTGTCAGCTATAATCTTCATTTTTCCTACTGTTTTTTCATCATCTTATGGCGTTTCTGGTTCTTCAATCAATCATCTTCAAACCACACACATTCCAGGTAATCTTCAGTGAACTATAACTTAGGTTTGTGATTTTATTTTTTTTATTTTTTATTTTATAGATTTTTTGTCCCCTCAGTTTATGGGGTTTCTGCTTCTTTAGTCAATTATCTGCAAACCACACACATTCCCGGTGATCTTATGTTAATTCCAATTTGGGTTTTTGTTTTCTGGCTGTACTCTTGTTTTGTACACACGAAATTAATGTACTATGAATTTGTGTTGTTGGATTTTCGCTTTGGTTAATTGTGTAGGTGTGGCCAATGAGATTAAGGACGACGGCAGTTTATGGGGAATCAGGAGATCTGTTTTAGAGGGTGACAATGGTGGAAAGTCATCATTAATATTGGCTGCTGAAAGAACACATAGAAAAGATCCACTTGATGATCTCAAATACTATACAGGGGGTTGGAACATTAGCAATGAACACTACATAGCTGTAAGTGTTGCTTGAATAATTGACTTTTATTACCCTGCAATTTTTAATCTAAATAGACTTGTTTTTATACTGGTTTTATTCATATCAATGTTAAAATTATGTGTCTGATTAGCATGTAATAACCTGAGAGTAACTGATGGAGCAAGCTTTGAGGGAGAGGAAAATGTTTATCTCATATGAGTTATAATGTAGATTTTCCACATAATAAGAATTTTTAAGTAGGAATTTTTTAATTTTTGTCTCTCTAATGTTTTTCACATGTTATTTTCCATCATGAATCATTTTCTACTGTTGATTAGAACTCATGTCGTTGTGCATTTTGTTTGGAGAAACAGTAGTTGTCGCACTTGACTTCAGGATAACTTAGTTTGTATATCCCATCGCAATGTGGTATTGTCATGCTGATTGAATATTTGTTTTTCTAATTTCTTCTCTCGTATTGAAATTTTCAACTGTATCTGTTTTAAGTAGGGATTGGCTTCATTGCTACTTGCAAGTATACATTTTATAAGTCCTAAACATGAGGATCCTATTTCAAGATTTTCAGTATATTATAACAATCAGACATAAGTATACATTTACACCTTTTGTTTCTGTTTCTTTTGAAGAAAAACTAACAAAAATTTGTTCCTCAATTTATTGTTGGAGATGTGATTAACTTACGAGTAATAATAGTAGGATCAGGGTTGGTGATATTCTTTCTCAACATAGAGAGGTAGATAATAGGTGAAATTGCTGATTTTCAAATAAAAATAGCTATTACAGAATGGTGGTGTTTTAACTCAAGATATGCTGTAGGAAAAGATAGAGACTAGTAATCTACATCTATCTTGTTTATAATGAACAGTTGTTTATTGGTTTCTATTCATAAATCAAAATAACTTTTTCATGAATACATTAATCTCTTTTCTGACCTAAGAAAAACTTTTATCTACGATTAGATTGTGCTATGTTGACCATTCACTTTTAGATATGAGAAAAAGCAAACATGCATTGAATATGTTTCCTGGACTCCTATATGATATTTAACTGACAAATGAGAACAGGACAAAATTTATTTCTTGTTTTTGTTATGATATTCTGTGTTCATCTGTTTTTTTCTTATTGGAGTTTTTCAAGTAATGTAATGATGCAATTTAGAATCTCAATCTAAAATTTTGTTTTTAATGCAGTCAGTGCTTTACACTGGCTCTACGCTTTTCCTTGTTGCTGCATTCTGGTTGGTTGGATTTGGTGTTTTCTTGCTGCTGGCTTGTCTGTATGTTTGCTGTTGCCAGAGAAGACGTTATGGCTACTCTCGATTTCTCTATGCACTATCTATCGTCCTTCTCTTATTATTTACCATTTCTGCAGTGTAAACCTCTTGTTTCTATACATTGTTATCTCATTAAGATTATATTTGTTATGTTAGATCTCTTTACTCTTCCATTTTTTTCTATTAGCATCGGATCTGCTGTTCTCTATGCTGGTCAAGAGAAGTTTCATGATAGTACAAAAGATACATTGAACTATGTTGTCCAACAAGCCAAGTCCACAGTTGCCAATCTCACAGATGTCTCAAATTATTTGGCTGCTGCTAAAAAAGTCGGAGTGAATCAGATATTTTTACCTAAGAATGTTCAAAACAACATTGACAAGGTTGATAACTTGATTGCCTCTGCTGCTCGTACCCTTGAAACCCAAACAGAAAAAAATAAAAATGATATATTCCGCTATTTGGATGCTGTGTAAGTATTTCTGTATAAATGGCCAATTTCATCACACATTTTTCTTTTATTATGTATTCTCAAATATTTCCTTATGCTTTTCAGGAGGCTATTTCTCATTATAGTATCAACTATAACACTTATCCTGGCTTTACTCGGTTTCTGTAAGTCTACTGATAATTTCAGCTATATTTTTTAAGCTTGTACTGAACAAAATGATAAATATTGTATTTTTCTATAATGCAAAATTTGGGCGCAGTGTTGTCCATTGCAGGCTTTAAATTCCTTGTGTACATGTGAGTGCAATTCTTTATCTCTTTGACTTCTCAAACATATTCTGTTAATAGTTCGTAAAATCTCGTTGAAATTATTTGCAGGTTGATCATCATTGGTTGGATTCTCGTTGCCATCACCTTCATCATTTGTGGTGTATTTCTTGTTCTCCACAAGTACGTACTACTAATTGCACCATCCACCTACATGAAACAGATATATTTCTTTACCATTTAACCTCTTGGAGGTCATAAAGTGTCACAGATCATTTCATTTGAACTGCTGATTGATGCAACAAGAAGAGATACTTTTCATCTGTGCTCCGCTATTAAATCCCAATAAAAGGTCTTAAAGGAAATAATTTTTTTCTTGTCATGGTTTTTGATTAATTTTATTACTAATATGGATAAAGAAGTAGAGATGCCGAAGCTTTTGAGAAGTATAGGTTAGTTAAATAGAAAGCCGAAAGGATGACATGAGAGCCCGGTGAGGAAGCATATGAAAAGTTTTAGTTGTTGTGGATCAAAAATTGGAGAAAAATCTATTTACATGGTATGTTGGCTAAGGGAGAAGGGAATTAGAGATCTAAACTGAGTTAGTGTATTTAAAAGATGAAAACCAAGAGTGTTTTTCCATAGAATGGATCAAATGGACAGGGATGGGTTTTGGGGTTGGGGGGGGGGGGGGCCAGAACAGATTTTTAATGGGTAATTTTTTTATTTTTTATTTTTTTCGTGTATTAGCCCGGTTTGAAATTTTTTAGCCTGGTCTTGAATTCAAACTTGGATCCATCCCTGAATGGAGGTGGCATAATAGGATCCAAGCAGCCCAACCTAAATTTATTGGGATCAACGCTTATTTTGTTGTTATATGGATGAAGAAGCAGATCAGATTGATACATACCCTTCGTAGACCTAATACAAACCTAACAGAGCCGATCCTCATAAGGTGATGGTTTTTTAGCTGCCAGATGAATGCAAGCACTAAAAAGTAGGCATGGCAATTTGTTGGGAGAGATTATGCAACTGTTAATTATTAACTCCAATAAAAATTCACAATGCCTCTGTTATTGGAAAGTTTAGTTGTAATTGCATTGTTACTCCTTGCAAAACCTGTATTTCATCTTAAGGCAGTTTCCAAGTCTTCTATAATTTTTTTTCCTTCCATAATGCATAGGTAATGGCTAATGCTAAGCAAGCTTAAATCTTTCACCCTTGAGTGAGTATGGTCCTCACAAAAATTCAGATAATACTGCACATTGCACCATACAATGTCCCATTTCAAGTATTAGGCACGTATGCAATAGTGAATTTCACCTTCTGGATATGTGTTACTATGTTGCTCTGGCTCAAGTAGACACGTAAACTAAGTGTGAGCAACATGAATTTCCAATTATAGGATCTAGAGGAGTCAGTCAAAAGGTGTGCTGACTTTGGATGCAGATATTTTATTGAAATGATATGGAAAAAAAATCCCATCTTTTGCTATTTTTTTATTAAGTTTTAGTTTAAGCATAGTGTTTGTTTGGGAAAGATTATTTTAAGTGAAATATAATTTTTTAGCTTAAATGATTAATGTTTGGACTGGCATACGGTGTCAAAGAGTTCTAACTTATTCCTTCAAGTGAAAAACTAAAATGTCATGCGCTAATGTTATTTTTATAGTCAGCCTTCATTTCCTACATGGTGTAAATGCTTTTAAAAAGAACTACTAGATCAAAAGGGAATGTGATTTCTTTCCTAGTGCTAGAAACATGAAACACAGCAATTGGACATGTACCTTCCACAGAAGTGATTGATCCTCTCTCTTTTTCTTGGGTATGATAAATTGTTGAATAATTGGGATTCAATTGTATATTGTATTCAATAATGACACTCCTTTAAATGGGAGAAATTACAGATATTAACTCCTAGAAAATAGAAGCTGAAAAACAGAAAGAACAAATCTTATGGGATAAGATCATCTTATGTGATAAGATGAGATTTCTATCAATCTAAATCTCACATAATCCTTATTTAAATTCAAAAATGAACAAAGCATATAATCCTTAGATAGTATAAGCAAAAGTAACCCGGTTCCACACTCCTCAAGCTGGGAGGAAGATATCTATCACCCATAGCTTGTCTAAGACACCTTCGAACATCTGCCTAGTGACCCCTTTTGTAAATAAGTCGGCCACTTGCTGCCTTGATGGTACAAAAATCATGCAAATTTCCTTATTGTTAATCTTCTCCTTTATAAAATGTTTATCAATCTCCACATGCTTTGTACAATCATGATGGACAAGATTGTGTGCAATGCTTAGTTCAGACTTGTTATCACAGAAGATCTTCATTGGCTTAACACTTAGTAGTTTCAATTCTTCCACCAGTCTTTGTACCCAAATCATCTCTCATGTACCTTGTGCAATTGCTCTGAGCTCAGCTTCAGCACTATTCCTCGCCACAACATTCTGTTTTTTGTTTCTCCAAGCCACCGAATTTTCCCAAATAAATGTACAATAGCCGGTGGTTGATTTTCTATCTTCTATGGATCCAGCCTAGTCCGCATCAGAATAAGCTTCAAGAACACATCATTTCTCAGTTTTTTTAAAATATAAACCCTTTCCTGGAGAAGACTTCAAATAACGGAGAATTCTATACATTGCATCCATGTGTTTTTGGAAAGGACTGTGTATGTATTGACTCACCATGCTAACAGTAAATGCTATGTCAAGCTGAGAAATGATATATGACACGTTTTTGCTGAATGCTTTTTTCGTGTTTATTCTCTTTGATTTGTAGAATATTACAAGCTATATATAAGGAAAATAATTAGCTATACAATGGAATTAATCCCTGATTTTCTGTGATTTGATTAGCCTGCATATGGAAATAACTAAACTAATTTTGCTTGGCTGGAAATATGCTCTAATAGTTTAAACTGAGGGACACTAGATGGAAGCCGATTTATGATGTATGAGGCTATAAAGACAGCTTTCCCCCAGAAATTCTTTGGCACGTTATTAGTAAACATTAAGGCTCTAGCAACTTTTAGGAGATGTCTGTTTTTTCGTTCAGTAATACCATTTTGTTGAGAGGTGCCTACACATGTGTTTGGATGATTACTAAGGTATACTCCTAGGATTTGGTTAAAGTATTTTTGGCCATTATCTGTATGTAGGATTTGAATTCGTGGAACTTCTGAAAAATTCTTGCTGTTTCAGATTTTTCTTTTAAAAGAAATACCCATCAAACTCTAATATGGTCATCAATGAAAGTAATAAACCATCTAGCCCCAGTTATACTTTTTGCTTAGATTAGTCCCCAGATATCACTATGAAACGTAGAAAATGGTAGACTCTCTATACGATCGTGTAGGATAGGAACTCCTGGTGTGTTTTGCAAGTTGGCATACATCACATTGAAATAAATTTGCATTTTTATTGAGAAATAAATCTGGAAACTACTTTTTCACATAAGAAAAGCTAGGATGTCCTAATCTTTTCTGCCATATCATTATTCTACTAGGAATTAAACTTGGAACAAAACCCGTGTACATAACTGACTTCTCCACAGTTTGGTAGGCTTGAACTTCTTTTTCTTCATGTTACTGGGGAACTGAAAGATAGTACAACTGCCAATCATCTTCCCCAAATACAAGTCCTGACATTCACAAAGATGAGGGGAAAAATTAGCTTTGCAATTTAGATGACTATTCAGTTTGCTAACTGAAATTAGGTTACATGAGGGATTAGGAACATGCAGTACTGAATAAAGGGTAATAGTTGGGGAAACCACAAGATTTCCTTTCCTTGCAACTGAAGACAGGAAGCCATCAGCAATTATGATTTTAAGTCTACCAAGGCGAGCAATATGTGAAGAAATTTTTTTTGAATTTCTTTCATGTGTAACACCACAAAAATTCATAATGCTTAGAGTGTTACCAAAAAATTTACTTTTCTTTGTATTAAAGGCAGCGCAATAATCAGTAAGATACATGCAATTTCCATCCAACTATATAACAATAAAATCTTCAATTCATACCACTCTTCTCTTATAAAGTATATCAATGACCAAGCGATACACCAATCTTAGGCCATCTTAAATTCTCGAAAGATTTCATATCTCTTTATAAGGAACCCGAAGGTCCACTAATAATTCATGCATGTTTAATTGAATATATAAAAGCATAAAGAAACAAACCTCTTGCACCAAAAGTATCTTACCTCGTTTATTGAAATGTTGTAAAAGAATGTAAAATAATGCACGTAAAATCTCTTTTCTACGCTTCTTTATCTCTCTGCCTTGACTCGTTTTGGCTGCGTCTATGTATAAATATTCTGTGGTGCAAATTTCTCTTGACTTCATGGGGTATTTAAAGTGAAAAAAATATTTACAAATTGAGTTTTAGTGCAATAATAATACAAAAGCCGTGTACTACCACAAACTGGATAAGAAAAGGTTCAAATGATAAAGTTAGTAGCATACTCCACTATTGATTTCTTGGTACAATTACACACACTCATGCTGTGAAAGGAAGAGAAATTTGAACAAATTCTAATCATCCCATTGAGAATAGGACGGGGCCAACTTGGACTTGGTTTCAAAAAGTCACATTTGAATTGTACTACACTATTGGTTTTATATCACAGTTATTTTGATTGTACAGAATACTTTCCACAGAATAAATCCAGAAAACTCACATGGGGTGGGTCCCATGTGAGTTTTATATTGAAAAAATATAACCACCCACCCCATGAATAGTGTGTGATCTGTAAGAATCTGTGCAGTTCCTTTCTATAAGTGTAGTGCAGTTCTTTATATCAAGGTGTTAAAAGAGGAAAAAGTTTTACTTAATTAATATTCCAAGCTCCTATCAACTCTATTAATCTTTTATTCTTTTAGTTGGACTTAACTTGATGTAATCTAATCTAAAATAATTTTTTTCTCAAGTCGAAGACTTCTAATTAATTACAAGCTATAAAAAGAGTTCAGTATCGTTATACTTATCTTCGCTCTATCAATATCCAATTATTTGGCCCAAAATAAGAATTTACAACCTATTTCATTTTAGTCCCTTAACTATCAAAAAGAAAAAACATATCTAGAGTAAAATAATTATATTCTTTTTTTTTTTATTTATTTTTTTTTTTTTTGGGGGCTTTCTTTTTTTTTTTTTTGGGGCATTACATAATGTGATCAGATGCATCCGAGTCTATATCAATCTGTGTGTTCAATGCAAGGGAGAAACTACCTTTCTGAGCAATGTTGCAAGGGGGATTGAGAGTTACTCTTGTTAAGATTAGATGGCTTTTGCTGAAGAAATTTCTGAATTTCAGCAATTTGTTTGTGGTTGAAAATTGATTGCTGTTGTTGGCTAGATCCGTCGATGATTGCTTGGTACCCTCTGGTTTCAGTCTGATTGCGTGGCTTCCAATTGGAAGGCTTTCGATGGAGCTTCCAGCACGTTTCAAGGTTGTGGTTGGACCGATGACAGTGGTCACACCACATATTCCATTTAGGTGCTCAGTTTTCTCCAGAATTATTTTCTGAAGCTCCTAAGTTCTGGTTATTCCAATTTGCTATCAAAGCCGAGGCAGAAATATTAGGAATTTCTGTTCTAACTTCAGTCTCCTTGCTGCCACCTAACGTGACTCTCTTTCAACTTTCTTCTCGCCTAACTTCAGCAAAAGCTTGTCTGAGGCTTGTCTGAGGCTCGAGAGGTTTAGCACCAAGAATACGTCCTCTCACTTCATCCAATTCCTTATTCAAACCATGAAAGAAATCAAAGACACGTTCAATTTCAAGGTCTACCTGATATTTCTTGCTGCAAGTCTGACAGTATTTGTAGACGTCCTGGAGCAAGTCCAGCTCTTGCCATAAGCCAGTCAATGTGTTGTAGTGATTCATAGCAGAGGATTCACATTGCTTGCAACCTTTCAGGACAGACTTGAGCCCAAACTGTTGGGCAGAATTAACTAAATCAGAATGTCTTTAACAGTCTCCCATATTTCGTTAACCGTCTTGTACGATAAATAATTCCTCTCAATCATTCAGTTCATTGAGTTGACCAACCATGCCATCACCATAGAGTTGTCTGCTTCCCATATGGCATATTTCTGTCATCCGTTGCAGGCGCTGGTGTAAACCACTAAGATACCCAAGTTTTCCTTTGCCTTGTATCACCATGACAACGGACTTAGACCAATCAAGATAATTGGAGCCATCTAGTTTATGTTGGGTTATTTGTAAAGAGGGTTTTTCTGAGGTAGAGGAAGGAGAAGGATTGCTAATAGTTTGAAAGGAAGGCACAGATTATGGACAGAATCTGCAGATCCAGTGTCTGCCATTGGAGATGAGGAAAAAAACTAGTCCCTATTACGCTTTGATACCATGTTGAATAATTGGGATTCAATTGTATATTGTATTCAATAATGACATTCTTTAGATAGGAGAAATTACAGAGATTAACTCCTAGAAAATAAAAAGAACAAATCTTATGGGATAAGATCATTTTATGCAATAAGATGAGATTTCTATCAATCTAAATCTCACATAATCCTTATTTAAATTCAAAAATAAACAAAGCATATAATCCTAGGATGGGATAAGCATAAGAATAACTCAGTTCAACATAAATGAACTATTGATGAAGGACCATCCGGTTGCCTCTCTGGGATCACAAGTTTTATGAAATGGAATACTCTCGTTCTTAAACAGTTTTCTTAGTGAGATTGTGATTACATGCTGATCGAGGTTCTTGCTGTGGTAATTTCTGAGGTTTTCGTGCTTCATTTGAATTGTACTTAAATTGAAATGTGATGTCTTGCTATCTGGTGAATTTTCAACTGACACAGTTCATGAGACCTTCAGGGTGAATTAATGTTGTGAACACTTGGTGATGGATCTAAATCATCGAAAGTTTAACGCTCTAATCAGTGTGTACGACTTTTTGAATTCACTGTTTATAATTTGTAAATAGCTATAGCTCATGAAATTGGATAGGCTTTTTCTCTGTCAGCTTTGCTGTTGATTTTTCTTCTTATTCTGAAGTGCCTTTTTTTATTGAAAATTTCTCATATGCAAGTGTGATGGGAGATACATGTGTTGCAATGGACCAGTGGGTTAACAACCCTACTGCTCACACAGCATTAGATGACATTATCCCCTGTGTGGATGCTGATACTGCACAAGAATCGTTGTCCCAGAGCAAAGAAGTCACCTTCCAAATGGTTGGGCTTGTAAACGGGGTCCTCTCTAATGTTTCCAATGCTAATTTAAGTCCTGGGACATACAACCAATCTGGTCCATTGGTACCTCTCCTCTGTAATCCATATAACCCTGATAAGACGGACCGAAAGTGTGCAGCAGGTGAGGTTGACTTGAGCAATGCAACACAGGTAAATGGCTTCCAAATTTTTAACCTTATCATTATTCATTATCATTTAAAAAATTGTTTATTACATACAGCAAGGTTTTACCACAGATCAATTACGAAATGCCTAAAATGTTTCATCCCATCTTCAGTCTACTGAAATAGAAACTAAAAACCAATCAACGGAAATCAAATTTCCGTGGTTAAAGGATGAAAAAAGGATATCAACTGTTGACCTTAAAATCTTCTTGGATTCTTTGATGAACAGAAGATACCTGTTTCTCTACAAAAACAAAATCCAGTTAGTGAGTCCAGCCACCCGTGGAGAGGGGCGACCTTTCCACTCTGAAGGTCAAGTCAAAATATTTAGAGCTGAAGTGGGATGGTCTTGGAGTATGTATAGGGTAAATGGAGAGTGGGTAGGTGAGATATCACATCACATGTGATGTTGCAACCAATTGTCATGTCGTTGCTAGTCCATATAATTTGTTAGTCGGTGGTAGGATCTGCATATCTACTATAGTTTTGGGTCAGTTCAGAGGTCTCAAAAATGGATCCTCAACTATTATGGGACCCTGTGTTGCCATGTGTATAACCATGAATAATTGGTGTAACTTCATATATTCCCTTCCACTTTTCCCCTACATCCATATTTTCCATCTAATACACACTAAAGGAATATGCTTACTTTTCTTTCGTTGTATATAATCCAGGTTTGGAAGAACTACGAGTGCCAAGTTTCTAAGAGTAACATATGCACCAGTGTAGGCCGTTTAACCCCAAACCTGTATGAGCAATTGAGCAGTGCAGTGAATGTGAGCTATGGATTGAATCATTACAGCCAATTCCTCACCAATTTAGCCGACTGCACATTTTTGCGTGATACGTTTAGTGTGATACACGATGACCATTGTCCTGATTTAAGGCTTTACAGCAAATGGGTTTATATCGGATTGATGATGGTCTCAGTTGCAGTTTTGCTTTCTCTCATGCTTTGGGTACTTTATGCAAGAGAGAGGCGCCACCGTAAATATACCAAACTTGTGGATGAGGTCTCTTATGAAAGTCGAGGATCATAACGAGATTTTAGAGTCTATGCTCTCATTGCAACTGAGACTGATTGTTCTTTCTCAATTGTACATAATTGAGTGGCAACTTCGTTGTGTCGATATTGTTTTTCCTATCTTGATTATTCTAGTAGGAGGTTGCATATATTGAGACTTGAGATTGAAATTGGTGTCCTTTTCATGTTATTCTTAGATCTTGACATTGTTTGATAATATAAGAACAGTTTCACACATGAAGAGGAAGGCAAATTTGCTTGAAACAGTTTTCGAAATAACTATTTTACACCTTTGACTACGTACAGAGCCTTGGGTTATGCCTCCCTGAAAATCTGATTGACGTGAATACAGCAATCTGTATTCTGGGGTCTGCTGTTTTAGACAAAGGGTGTTTCAGCTCATGTGCTGTCAGTGCAGTCTCCACTGCATCTAAAGCCATTGCTGCTGCTCTTTGGATTAAGTTCCATTGCTGCGTGTTATCTTTTTTGACAACCGGGGTACTAGGAATAGTTGTTGCTGTCGACGATTGTTTTGGCAAATCGCTACTTGTGTTTGCAGAGAGCAGCCAATGTTGAATAACAAGGAGTTTGAAGTATAGCCCCGGTCACCCAGTGTCCAGAATTTGGGCTTAACCCATGAATTAGAAGTAGCAGCAGAAAAAGAAACCATGGCAATCGATTAGGTACGCCGGTGTATGTTAAGAGTGAATTTTGATATGAGAGGTGAGAAGAGGGTGTAATGTATATATAGCGCAAGATGAGACCACGTGTTGCATACATAAACAGTGAAATATGCTATTTGTACATAAAAATGGTACACAATGGATTATGTGGAGGGAAAATATTGGATGAAAAGTTGACTCTGTTTAAAATTGGCAAATAATAGAGTGACATTATCTAAAACTTGATTTACATGTAACAAAGTTCTATAAATAGTAGTATTTTTTGTATGGATTAAAGTTTGAGATTAGTGAAAAAAAGTGAGACAACTGAAGTCAAACTTTTTTCTTTTGTTGTTTTTTACGCTTTAAAATAATAATAATAATAATAATAATAATAATAAATTGGAAAAATATGGGGAGGTTGATTAGGGAGGCATAATATTCACGTCAATCAAAGCCATTTCATTTGTTGATTAGGAGAATATTTTCAGTATGCTTATTGTTTATAAGTAAAATTACGAAATATTTGGCAACTTTTAAGAGCGACTTTCATGATCTAATGGTCCGTTTTCGTGATGTTGTCTTGATTCTTATTCAAAGCCTGTTTGGGAGTGATTTTGAAAATTGATTTTTTGACCGTTAGGAGAAAAGTTGGGTCCATTTGTGAGAGAAGAAGTCAAATATGACGGCTGAAATAGTGAAATAACGGTCAAAAAATCAATTTTTTGGGTGAAAAAATCGGGCCCAAACAGGCTCTCAAGATCAGTGTTTAATTTGTATAACTGTCCGTGCACCTTTTCTCTGATTTATTTTTTTCTAATCGTTATTTTGAAATAAGTAAAATATTTTGTTCTCTTTTCTAAATCTCCCCTTCCTCCATTTGAAATACATAAATACCTTGTGAATTTAAATTCAATTATGATTCTTTATCAAATTCATTGATGAAGGTTAAGAAATTAACGATTTTGGTTTTTATCAACATGATCTATTTTCAACTTAAATTTTTAGTTCATTAGACTCCCTATTCGATTTTGTATAATTTACCGTACCACACATAAACTTTTCGTGAGGAAAAATAAAACAAAAGCAAAAGGTTAAATACTAATCGGTCTCATTATGAACATATATATTACGCATCCATTAACAAGAAAGTTCCACTATATTTTTTTGGGTTATGCTGCCTGTACAGGCACGGGGTTGTACAGGTCACACACATTATAGGGGGTGGGTAATTTATTTTTTTTAAATAATCATCTCATCCACCCCCCCCCCCCCCCCCCCCCCCCCCCCACAAAAAAGGGGGGGGGGGGGGGGGGCATTGGTTTTTTATCTGATTTTTTTTTTTTTTTTAAGTATTCGTCAGCGTAGAAAGGCCAACCAAGCAAAGCTCTTTCTTTTTTATTCGGCCATGCCATGAAGTGAAATTGTATGGTATGTTAGGAAGAGAGGTAGGCAAAGAAATGTTACGGTAAAACAACTATAAAAGTCACAGGAAAGTTCGCCAACCTGATTCTGCATGCTACCAGCAGCAGTCGATGGCTGCGGATCTGCTGCCACTGAGTCATCGTCAACGATGAAAGCTATTGTTAACCATTCTTTTTGTCACTTGATGGCACGATAGGTTCTTTTTGTATTCAAGAAAGAACAGATTATGAATTCAGCTTAAACACTTTTTCAGTTTTTTGTTTTCAAAATTTATCTCTTTAACTAATTTCCTTCTGATCCGACTTTGTGATATAATTTAAAGGTCAAAACTGATTATTTTCAATTTTCCCGATTTTTTGTGACTTTTTCTGGGATTTAACAAACTGATTCTCTGTTTTAATTCTGTTGCGACCTTTTTATTGTTTATTAATTGATGATTAATATAGGGTTATGGTTTAAATGGAGTGATTTTCTAATCATATCGGTTTATAAAATATTTTTATTGACCAATATGTTCCCTTAAACTTCAGTGACTATTTGTGAAATTAATTCGAATTCCAATACTTCAATGTTTTAACTTTTAAGGTTAAAAAACGAAGGCAGTTATTTATATTCAACATTCTTATATATCCATCCCACTCTATATTTATTCTTATTATTTAAAAAAAAAAACACTATTTTCGTCCACGTCACATTTCAATATTATCGTTATTAAGTTCATTCATTTAAACACTGTACATTCATCACTTTTATATATCTATACAATTATGATTCCTTCAATCTTTTCGTATATCTATTCCTAACATTTTTATATATCTATACATCCACAACATTTTTGTATATTAATCCCACCATTTCTTTATATCTATCACGTTAATTAATTCATGTTTTCAATCATCGTCATCAATATGCATTGTCAAATTGCGTTACTTTTTATAATAATCCCATTATTTTGAATCCAAGAAAATCAAGAAAAATATCCCTTTAGAATCTCAAATTCTTGTTTTGATAGTTCTAGTAGAGAAGATAGTCATCAATATTTTCAATTCAAGAAAGTCAGACAGCGAAAATATAATCCAAAAAAAAAAAAAAAAAAACCCAAAAAATTTTTAAAAAAATTTTTTTTTTA